TGCTTAGGCCACACCTTGGCTCCCCAGCTCCACCAGCCACACGAGAGCCATATCCTCAGCCCAACAGAAGGGAAGAGGAAGGGGTGCAAATTAGTGTGAGTACCCTTGAATTAACAAGTTCTAGGGCTGGGCGTAATTGCTCATGCCTGTAATCCCAGCACTTTGGGAGGCTGAGGCAGGTGGATGGTTTAAGCTCAGGAGTTTGAGACCAGCCTGGGTGACATGACAAAACCCTGTCTCTACAAAAAGAAAAGCCCACAAAAATTAGCCAGATGTGGTGGTGTGCACCTGTCGTCCCAGCTACTAAGGCTGAGGTGGGAGGATCATTGGAACCTGGGAGGCAGAGGTTGCAGTAAGCTATGGTTGTGCCCCTGCACTCCAGCCTGGGTGACCCTGTCTCCAAAGCAAAACAGAAGTGATCTCACTTTCTGGGGATCTTCAGCTGCTTTGGCCTTGCTCACCTGCCTTGCCCTTTTCTGGCTACTGTCTTTCTCTCCTTGTGTGTCACTCTTTACATTCCAGTTAGAATATTGTTTCTGTGAATGCCAACTGCACGTCCATCAGAGACAGTGCCTTGGTCATCCAGGGATAAACCTGGTCTGCAATGGTGTGTTTTTTCTTCTCACTTTAGTTTTTCCCTCTACTGATACCTCTCTGCAGCAGTCTTCTTTGCTAGGGCATGTAATTTATCAGTGGAAATCCCAGGAGTATTTAGGGAAAAATGCGTTTTTCTTTCCTTGTTTCCTTCCTTCCTCTCTCCCTCCTTCCATCCCTCCCTCCCTCCTCTCCCTCCCTTCCTTCTTCCCCCCTCCTTTCCCTTCCCTCTCTTCTTCCTTCACTCCCTTCCTTCCTTCCCGCCTTCCTTTCCTCCCTTCCTTCCCTTGTTTCCCTTCCCTCCTTTCCCTCCCTCCCTTCCTTTCCTCTCTTGCTTCCCTCCCTTCCTTCCTTCCCTCCCTTCTGTCTCTTCCTTCCCTCCCTCCCTCCCTTCCTTCCCTCCCTCCCTTGCCTCCATTCTTTTTCTTCTTTCCCTCCTTTCCTTCCCTTCCCTCCCTCCTTCCTTCCCTCCCTTCCTCCCCTCCTTCCCTTCCTTTCCTCCCTTCCCTCCCTTGCTTCCCTCCCTTCCCTCCCTCCCTTCCTTTCCTCCCTTGCTTCCCTCCCTCCCTTCCTTCCTTCCCTCCCTTTCTTCCCTCCCTTCTTTCTCTCCCTCCCTTCCCTCCCTTCCTTCCCTTCCTTTCTTCCCTCCCTTCCTTCCCTTCTTTCCCTCCCTTCCCTCCCTTCCAGCAGTGTCTTGCTCTGTTGTCCAGGGTGCAGTGCAGTGGTGACATTATAGCTCACTGTAACCTCAAACTCCTGGGCTCAAGTGATCCTCCTGCCTCAGCCTCCCAAGTAGCTGGGACTGCAAGCACATACACCATGCCTAACTGATTTGTTTCCTTTTTTTTAAGAGCTAGGGATCTCACTTTGTTGCCCACACTAGCCTCAAACCCCTGGCCTCCTCCTAGCCAGGCATGGTGATGCATGCCTGTTATCCCAGCTGCTTGGGAGGGTGAGACTGCACTCAGCCATGATCATGCTACTACAGTTTGTCCTGGGTAATAAAGCAATACCTTGTCTCAAAAAAAAAAAAAACAAAAAAATGTGATCAGATTGGATCATCTATTCAAAACTTATGAGCCTTACTCTTTCCCATTTGGGTAACTTATACTCTTCTCATGTGTGAAATACTGACTACTGATTTTCTAATGTCTCACATGGCATCAAAGCGTGCTGATGCAGAGTGAAAGATGGAAGGGAGGGGAGGCTTTCCCCAACTGATTTATTTCTCATCTCCTCCAAAGAACAATGTCAAAAGTAACCGAGTAGACATTCTGTAGACGTTCTACAGAGTATAGATCTTCAGAGGTTTTTTTGAGTGAAATTTTCTTTATGCTGTGTGATTATAATTAATTTATAATCTTACTCATTAGGTTGGGTCTGAAATAGGAAACAAGTAAGTAAGTGTCTTCTAGGAGAACAGGTGAATGATGAAAAGTAAAAGCACATCAGATGTGGGAGTACAGGTGTGGTGGCTCACGGCTGTCATCCCAGCACTTTGGGAGTCTTGAGGAGGGTGGATCAGGAGGTCTGGAGTTCAACACCAGCCTGGCCAATATGGTGAAAACCCTGCCTCTACTAAAAAAATTATAAAAATTAGCCAGGCATGGTGGCACATGCCTGTAGTCCCAGCTACTCTGAAAGCTGAGGCAGGAGAATCACTTGAACCTGGAAGGCGGAGGTTGTGGTGAGCCGACATTGCACCATTGCACTCCAGCCTGGGTGACAGAGTGAGACACTGTCTCAAAAACAAACAAAAAGCACGTCGGAGCACTGGTCCCTGATTTGGTTGGTGCCATCAGTTTATAGATTAGAATCTCTCATAAGAAGACCTCAGGGGACTCTTGCCTTCACTTCCATGCTGTCCTCCAGTGTGCCAATCTCCATCCCCATCCCCTAGGAACAGAGTGTGGAGGTTGATGAGCTAAGTCCGTGTCGAGCACCAGCATGAAGATTCACTCCACACATCAGCATGACTGGGGGCTGGGGCAGCATGCACTAGCATGCATGTCATCCCTCCTCTCACGGGGGGCACGACACAGGTGATTCTGCCTCCTTCACCTTTTGTGCCAACTTCAGTTTATAGAGGTGACTGGCTGGAGTGCCATCTCAAGAAGAATGTGGAATCACAAGAAAGATCAGTGGAAAGGGGGCTCCTTGTTGGCTAGCACTACCTGCTGTGGCCCACAATGGGAGAAGATAGGTTATTTCTTGAATATATGCGGCATCCTTACACTGTGGAGTGGTAAATAAAGTGCTAGTGGGTGACGGGTAATAGAAGTTGTAGCTGGTGTGAGTGAGACCTGGACTGAGGTTGAAGCGGGAGTAGACGGGTGGCGGGAGAGCGTGTTGGCTCAGCCGTCATGTAGGCACAGGCCCGGTGACCGGGGTGGGCAAGCAGGGGAGCCATGGCAAGGAATGGAGAGGTGGGAGATTAAATGGAAAGGTTGGGAAAGAGACATTGTGAGGAATGAGGGTGGTGGCCGTGAAGCTTTCCAAGGTCAGCTGATGAGATCCTTCCTGCCCTCTGACTGTCACCACAGACCTAGCCTAGCCTGAAGTTCCTTGAGGGCAGAGTGGATGCACCTGGATATCTTCAACTTTCAGTACCAAAAGCATTTGAGTAAAATGTCAGTTTTCTCCTATTCCTGTTAATTAATGGTATATCTGGTTATTGTCTTTTTCTTTCTGACCATTTTATAAATACATTTTAAAACACAGCTGGATTCCTATAGCCTTAAACAGCAACCTAAAAAGATGCAACCTGTCTGGAGAGGTGGGAACCCCTCCCATTCTTCACATAGCACAGCTGTGCAGCCAGCAGTTACTGAAGCTCTGCTGGATTTTCACTAGTGATGGCGCAATATGCCAGACAATTACAGGGATGTTTCAGTGGGCAATGGGAGAAAAATTGCAACTCTTCCCCATGTGGCCGGAGGCAAGTCTGGAGCTGCTCATGCCCTTTTTTTTTTTCCCAGAAAGAGTCTTGCTCTGTCGCCCAGGCTGGAGTACAGTTGTGTGATCTCGGCTCACTGCAACCTCTGCCTCTTGGGTTCAAGTGATTCTCCTGCCTCAGCCTTCCAAGTAGCTGAGATTATAGGTGCCTGCCACCACACCCAGCTAATTTTTGCATTTTTAGTAGAGCTGGGGTTTTGCCATGTTGGTCAGGCTAGTCTCGAATCCTGGCCTCAAGTGATCCACCTGCCTTGGCCTCCCAAAGTGCTGGGATTACAGGTGTGAGCTACCATGCTCTGCCTATATCCTTTGTTTTCCTAAGATTTTTTTTACACTTTTTATTCTGTAAGTTCTAAGAAAAAACTACATTGAAGGAGAAGGAAACCATTAGTATATATTTTATAGTTTCTCTTTGTTTAGGCATCTATCTCTTGGATACATTTAGGTTCATCATGTCTAAATATCTGCTGACCTCATAATATTTTTGTGTTTTAGGAAGTAGAATGCTTAGAGGCATGGAGCTTGGAGCCAGGCTGCTTAGTTTTGAATCCTGGCTGTCCTGTTTTCTTGCTCTATTAACGTGGACAAGGTGCTCTGCCTTTCTGTACTCAGCTCTTTGAAAATGAGGATAGTAATAATACATGCTATGTAAGCTTATTGTAAAAGGTAAATGAGCTGGGCATGGTGGCTTACACCTGTAATCCAAGCACTTTGGGAGGCCAAGGCAGATGGATCACTTGAGGTCAGGAGTTTGAGACCAGCCTGGCCAAACATGACGAAACCCCATCTCTACTAAAAATAAAAAAATTAGCTGGGCGTTGTGGCCTGCTCCTATAGTCCCAGCTACCTGGGAGGCTAAGGCAGGAGAATTGCTTAAACCCTGGAGGCAGAGGTTACAGTGAGCTGAGATTGCACTGCTGCACTCCAGCCTGGGCCAACAGAGCAAGACACTGTCTCAAAACAAAGAAAAAAAATGAAGTGAGATGATGCTTATAAAGCATGGACGTGATACTTGGTGCATCCTAAGTGTTGAGAAGATGATCACTGTCACTGTTAAGGGTTTTGTTTGTGGAAAGGGGAAACGGTACTGCTATGGTGGTAGGGTCTGTATTCTTACTTGAGTATTGGGGTCCAGGCTCAGCTCTGCACTAGATTCTAGGCCTTAATTTTGACAACTTTTAGAGGGACCAGTAATGCCCTGTCTTACTTAGATCAAATGTGAAAATGAAATGCCTTGAGAAGTGCAAAGCAACACACAGATGCTACATTGTATTACTGCTGTTATTATAGAAGTGGTGGTAGTGAATGATGATATTCATTAAAATTGATCCAATTTTAATTTTAAAAGCAGCAGGAATTATTACTTATGGTGGTAGTTTATGTACATTACAAGCAAGCACATTTACTTTTTCTTGAAGTAAAATAACATTTTAGTTTTTTTTTCCTCCTAGGAACCTCGGAGAGCTGATAGATCGGTTTGTGGCTGATTTCAAAGCCCAGGGGCCCCCTAAGCCCAACACTGATGAAGGGGGTGCTGTGCTCCCCAGCTGTGCCGACCTCTTTGTCTACTACAAGAAGTGCATGGTGCAGTGCTCCCAGCTCAGCACTGGGGAGCCGATGATCGCCCTGACCACCATTTTCCAGAAGTACCTCCGAGAATATGCCTGGAAAATCCTCTCTGGTAACCTGCCCAAGTGAGTCCTGTTCATCATAGTCTGAGTGGTGAAGTGAGATGCAAATATACCTAAATATGGGAATCTTTAAGGAAATCCACTCCAATGTTGTTTAGTGAACCACTGAGAGTGTCAAGGAAGAAAGCATTCTTACTGAGTTCCCGAGGGTCTGAAGCGATTTCTTCTCTGACATTACACAGCTGATGAAGACCATGAGAGGGAATGTCCACACTGGCTGCCCATGTGGGCCAGTCTTTCCCCGATGGGTGAAGGGGAACCAGTCCCATTGTACATGTATTTAATTTCCGTGGATTCAACTATAGATACTTGGCGCACACAGAAAAAGTGAGGTTGTGATGCAAATAACTGTTAAAAAGCATAAGTGGTTTCACTGAAACCTCCTTTGATGAGATTATGTCCTGGAGTGAGGGTGGGGGGAATGAACCTGCTCTTTTTTCTCATTCCAAGTAGGCTCCAAGTCCCTCTTGTGGTATGCAGTCCTTGCCATGTTGGATAGAGCCTAGTGTTTAAAGATAGGGTAGGATTGCGGGGCGGCTGGTGCGTAGCTTCTGGTTATGGTGACTGTTGTATCATCCTGGGGCTTAGAATATTGTCGTATTGCTTACTATTGAAATAAGTGGATCATTCAACTAGGATTTTAGAGATGTTTTGATTATATGGTAGGTTTCACTGTAATAGAATATGACTTAAAGTGTTGCTTCTGAATTTAGTATTTGCAAATCACCCCCATGGCTAAATTTAACAATTCTGGAATTAGTTTCTGTCATGATCACTAAAATGTGTCACAGATGAGAGTTTCATGTTACTTGGAAGAAAGAGAATAAAATCCCATGCTCTACAGGAGATGTGAAGTGACAGGTATGTTTTACTGGTGAGAACTTCTTTGACTATGACAAAAATCATTTTAAAATTTTAATAACTTTTATTTTGATTATCAAGATAACACAAGTTCATCCTAGCTTACAAAACATAGAAAAGCATGAAGAAAAAAACAAAAATTGGCCAGGTAATCCCAGCATTTTGGGAGGCTGAGGCAGGAGGATCACTTGACATCAGGAGTTTGAGACAAGCCTGGTTAACATGATGAAACCTTGTTTCCACTAAAAATGCAAAAATCAGCTGGGCCATGGTGGCTCGTACCTCTAAACCCAGCTACTCCTACTCAGAAGGCTGAGGCAGGAGAATTGCTTGAACCCAGGAGATAGAGGTTGCAGTGAGCCAAGATCGCATTATTGCCTTCCAACCTGGGCATCACAGGGAGACTTGTCTAAAGAAAAAAAAATTATATATAATCTCACTACCCAGAGAAACTTAACTTTCTGGTATATGTTCTTCCGTTCCTGATAGATACATAATGTGTGTGGTCTGCTGCTCTTGTTTGCTTGTTTGGCGCAATTAGGCTGTGCTGCTGGTAGCTTTGTTCCCTGCTGCTGCCATTTTTAACATCATCCTGGGAGCATTTTCCACGTCTCAACAGGAAGAAAATGGCATACTCAACTGGGATTTTGTCAGTACAGAGACTGTTCACAGAAGTGGGGGCAAGGTGAAAGGAACCCACAGAGGATTCTGAAGCATTCAGATATGAGTGGGTAGTTGTTACTACCATAGAACTCACTGAGGAGCCAGGGCTGCCCCAAAAACCTGTAGTCACAGAAGGATGTGAGATGGGTTTTGGCCTCTTTAGAAATTAGGGCCTTGGGCAGGAAGCACGTGTCTTTTAATTCACTTATGTACTCCTCCACAAGCACACATAAGTTCCAGTGAAGACTTTTTTTAACTGAAAGAGTCAGGGTGGGCAACCAGCTTTTGTGCTCCAGATGGTCCTAAGTCAGTTTTGCATATCAGGAGGTTCCAAGCTAAAGACAGTGGCAGCTGAGCAAGCAGACTTCCCTTTGAATATTAGACCATCTTAGTTAATATGACTGACAACTGGCTGATGGTTAACTAAGGTCAACTAAAATAGGAATCATCTCTTCTTCTTTCTGATGGTGAAAGAGTCTAAAAAGATGATAGTCAAGGTAAGGTTCAGTAGGAAAACAACTCATTGTATGTGGATTGATTTGGGCTGTGTCCAGCCTTTACTTCCCCCTTTTCTTTGTCTTAAAATATGCAGTTCCAGTTCAGGAAACAAATTAGAAATTCCAGGCTGACTAGTTCCTGTTCCTTTTCCTCAGAACCACAACCAGCAGTGGAGGGCTGACCATCAGCAGCCTCCTCAAGGAAAAGGAGGGCTCAGAAGTAGCCAAGTTCACTCTGGAGGAGCTCTGCCTCATCTGCAGCATCCTGAGCACAGCAGAGTATTGTCTGGCCACCACTCAGCAGGTGAGCTGTCCTGGCTGCCCACTCACCACCTCCTTTCCCTGAACTCTCTGGGCTGAGGAGCTCAGTGAATAAGAAGATAAGTGATGACAAGGCCACAGACAACCGTCCGTCAGACCAGTTGGCCTGCCACAGAGAAAAGTTCACTGTCCAGCCATGGCTGCTCAGGTAGCCGCCTTACAGAAGGGCATTGTGAAAAGGTGACTGGGCAAAAAAATATGGCTGGTCTCCTCCCTGGAGTTCTGTGAGCTGCTCAAAGGGCATGACCTGTTAAAAGTAGGTCAGTAGCACTGTCTCCCTATGAGAAAAGCAGTAACAGACTTGTCTGTAGGAGGACTCAGCCTTTGAGGATGAGTCACAGCCAGTTGTTCCATGCCCAGAAGTATTACTAAGCTAAGCAGAAGCCTTTGGGCTTTTATGTGTCTTCTGAAATTTACATAGCATTTTTAGTCTGCCTAAACAAACAACCATTGTTTGAGATGCTGACGTTCGGGAACTGGGAGGCAGGAAAGGGTGATGCCTCTCCTGCAGCCCCCAAATGGCAGTAGTTCAGCAAATTGATTTAGCAGAAGGAAGACCCAGAAGAACTTTTTATTCAGCCTTAACCACGGTATTAGAAATTTCTTTTCACATTTAGTCTGGGATTCCCCTAAGGCCAAGAGAGAGAAAATAATTTGGGGACGTTCTGCTCTTCTCCCCGCTTTGTGTTTATTATTTACTGATGTCTAGATCACAGGAAGACAGTTGTACATGGTAGTTCAGACAGTACAGTGGGGAGTTCATTGGAGCCAGAGCAAAAATACTGCAGGTCAAACAGGAAGTGTGTCCACAGTCTCCTGAGTTGTGCATCAGCCAGCCAGAGGCAGGGGTAGCTGCACCCTCTGCGTGGGACCCTGGTCATGTTGAGTTGCACAGGTGATCACCTGCTGAAGTTTGGCCTTGGAGCCTGAGAACAATCCGTTGAGCCCTGAGCCACTCCCAGCATGAGATGGCACTGTCTGTAAGGACCTCCAAGGCAGGGGTTCCAGAGTTTTTTCATGATATACACGGTTTAACTATTATGTGTGTATGCAGAAAGAAATACATGCATGTAACTATGCAGTTTTGAAGGTAAAAATAACCATAGTATACATAAAAATGATCGCTCAATCCCATCATCCTCAAATAATCATATTTACAATTTGGGGTATTTTTTCAATCGGTTTTCATAGACATAGTTTTGTATGTTATAATCTTAATTCATTGTTATATCCTTTTATTGTTAGTGTTGTACATCGTATGAGCATTTCTTCTGTCATTACTGTTGTTAGAATGACATCATTAATCAGTATCACTATCATTATAGTGTCCTCGTGACCATCATTGTTTATGCTGCCTCAGATTTCACTTTTATAGATATCCCTGGCAGGGCACCGTGGCTCACGCCTGTAATCCTAGCATTGTGAGAGGCCAGGGCTGAAGGCTTTCTTGGAGTGAAGAGTCCAAGACCAGCCTGGGCAACAGACCAAGACCTGGTCTTTACAAAAAAGTTTAAATATTAGTTGAGTGTGGTGACAAGTGCCTGTCGTTTCAGCTACTTGAGAAGCTGAGGTGGGAGGATTGCTTGAACCTGGGAGGTCAAAGCTGCAGTGAGCCATGATCACACCACCGCACTCCAGCTTGAGTGACAGAGTGAGACCCTGTCTCTAATTTAAAAAAAAAAAAAGATAATCTTTACAAAGAGTGAGCTTTGATCACACCACTACATGCCTGGGTGACAGAGTGAGACCCTCTCTCTAATTGAAAAAAAAAAAAAAGATAATTCTTACAAAGAATGTCTTTCTGAATGTAGCATCTTAAATGTTTTACATTCGTTTTCTAGAATAGACTCTTGGAAGTTGAAGACTGTTTTGATGACTGATGATACAAGTAGCCAATTTTTATTTAGTGAAAATTGTTTTTATTGATTACAAAAGTAATACAGTCTTAGCATCTATGTTGTGATCTCTAAATACAATTTTCCACTAAAAGAAACCAGAGATTCCTGGAGAGACGACTACTTCCAGGTCAAGGGCAGGAAAGGTACGAGATGAACCTAGAACATCATGTTATACAAAAAGCAAGAAGAATATCAAACTATTATAGTGTCATCTCCCAAGGACTCAGGGAGCTACAGTGGGCTGAAATGTCCCTGTGACCCCAAAGTATGTCCAAGTCCTAGGCCTCGGGACCTGTAAATGTGGCCTTGGCTTTGTGAATGTAATTAAGTATCTCAAGATGAAATCATCCTGGATTAAGGGTTGTAGGAGGGCTTATCCAATGACTGTTGTCCTTAGGTGTGGGAGATTTAACATACAGAGACACAGGGAAGGAGACCACGTGAAGCAGGCAGAGGCTGGAGTCATGCTTCTACAAGCCAAGGGACATCAAGGATTGCCAGCAGACACCTGAAGCTAGAAGAGAGGTGTGGAACAGTTTCTTTCTCAGAACCTCCAGAAGAGGCAGGGCACAGTGGCTCATGCTTATCATCCCAGCTCTTTGGGAGGCCAAGGGGAATGGATCACTTGAGATCAGGAGTTTGAGACCGGCCTGGCCAACATGGCATAATCTTGTCTCTACTAAAAGAATACAAAAAACTGAGTTAGTCCCAGCTACTCAGGAGGCTGAGGCAGGAGAAGCACTTGAGCTGGACGTGGAAGTTGCAGTGAGCCAAGATGGCGCCATTGCACTCCAGCCTGGGCAACAAAGTGAGATACTGTCTCTTAAAACAACAAACCAGCCAACCCTGCCAACACCTTGATGTTGGACTTCTGGCCTCCAGAATTGTGAGAGAATGTTTTGGTTCTTTTTGACCATGAAGTTTGTGATGATTTGTTATAGCAGCCCTGGAAAGCTAATATAGGAGCCATCCTCAGTGTGCTGCACTGGCCAAAAATGGGACAAACAGGCTGGGCAGGGAGCTCAGCCTGTAATTTCAGCACTGTGGGGGTCGAGGAGGGCAGATCATGAGGTCAGGAGTTTGAGTGAGACCAGCCTGGCCAATGTGGTGAAACCTGTCTCTACTAAAAATACAAAATGGAGCCAGGCGTGAAGGCAGGCACCTGGAATCTCAGCTACTTGGGAGGCTGAGGCGGGAGAATCACTTGAACCCAAAAGATGGAGGTTGCAGTGAGCCAAGATTGTACCAGTCAACTCCAGCCTGAGTGACAGAGTGAGACTTGGTCTCAAAAAAAAAAAAAAGATGGCACACGTAAACATCAGTGTATATCAGTGAGAGTGTATATGAAAAGCACCAGTGTGTATCTACAGTGTATGGAAAATATCAGTGTGTGTCAGTGAGAGTGTTAGCCACAGTGTATAGAAAACACCAGTATCAGTGAGAGTGTTATGAAAACATCCATACAGTATATGGAAAACATCAGTGTATGTCAGTGAGAGTGTTAGCAACAGTATATTGAAAACACCAGTGTGTTTCAATGAGAGTGTTAGCTACAGTGTATGGAAAACACCAGTGTGTGTCCGTGAGAGTGTTAGCTACAGTGTATAGAAAACATCAGTGTGTGTCAGTGAGAGTGTTAGCTGCAGTGTATGGAAAACATCAGTGTGTGTCAGTAAGAGTGTTAGCTACAGTGTATTGAAAAATATCAGTTTATATTAATGCAAGTGTTAGCTACAGTGGATGGAAAACACCAAATGTGTTTAGATCCATTTGGTTGTAATGATTTTTCTTAATTCACTTACCACCTTTGAAAATGCTAAGGAATCACTAGTAGGAGTTGAATACTGGTAAATAAAAACCCTTTAGCTTGCCTTTCCTGTGTGACATGTCCCTCAGGAGAACCAAATCATCAACAATGGGAAGTATCTCTTTATAGCAGAAGTTTACCTAATAAATGAAGAAGAAAAGACAGATTTACAATTTTTTTTTTTTTTTTTTGCCAATCAGTTTGAGCTTTATGAGGTTGCTCAGGTTAGCCTTGAACTGATGACCTCGCCTTCACAAGCGCCATGACCTCCGGCGGGTTTTTTTTTTTTTTTTTTTGAGATTGAGTTTTGCTCTGTCACCCAGGCTGGAGTGCAGTGGCATGATCTTGGCTCACTGGAACCTCCACCTCCAGGCTCAAGCGATTCTCCTGCCTCAGCCTCTTGAGTAGCTGGGATCATAGGTGCCCACCACCATGCCCAGATTTCTTTTCTTTCTTTCTTTTTTTTTTTTTTTTTGAGACGGAGGCTTACTCTGTCGCCCAGGCTGGAGTACAGTGGCATGATCTCAGCTCACTGCAACCTCCACCTCCCAGGTTCAAGTGATTCTCCTGCCTTACCTTCCTGAGGAGCTGGGATTACAGGCATGGCACGCCTGACTAATTTCATATTTTTAATAGAGACAGGGTTTCACCATGTTGACCAGGCTGGTCTCGAACTCCTGACCTCAGGTGATCTGCCTGCCTCAGCCTTCCAAAGTGCTGGGATTACAGGTGTAAGCCCCTGCACTCCCTAGAGTATCATTCTTTATACCTCTTAATGGAATAATGGGATCTGAGCTTTGAGCATCAGTGGCTCTTTGACATCACAAAGAGCAACCAAACATATATTTTGATGGTAGCCGAACATTACATCATTTCGAAGAGTAGTTTTCTGAAAAATAAAACAAACCTGAATCAGCTCAGGCTTCTACATCTAACTACCAATTTGTGGGAAATACAGGAGACAGGAAAATGTCCTTTGATACTTGTGGGTGCAATCAGCAAAATCTAAACCTTGGGAAAATCTACAGGGAGAACAACCCAGATTCTTTAAGAAAAGATTACAGAGGGGCAAAGAGAAATGGAAGAAGAAAACAGAAACAATATTATCTGAGCAGGCTGGGCACAGTGGCTTACACTTGTAATCCCAACACTTTGGGGGGCTGAGGCAGGAGGATCACTTGAGCCCAGGAGTTTAAGACCAGCCTGGGCAACATAGTGAGATCCCATCTCTACAAAAAATGAAAAATAGTAGCCAGGCATGGCGGCAGGTGCCTGTAG